ATTACAAAATTTATTCTTTGTTCTAAATGTTTCAACTAATTTAACTAACTACTAAAATTTACATAATCTCTCACACCTATGCTCCTAGAAGGCGATGTCGCAGTGACCATAAACATGAACAACCCCAAACACCTTATTAATGATTGTCCCGCATAATATATCGTGAAAAGAACCTAAAAAAAATCGTTCATAAGTATTGAATGTGTACAAAAACAACAAAGACTTATTTTGCAAAAAAATAATATTAAGGACTAAATATGCAAAAAAAAATATTAAGGACTAAATGTGTATAAAATGAAAAATATATGACCCTTTTAAGTCATTTTTTACGGCTTACCTGAAGTAGCCGGTTATAAGGACTAAATATGTACAGTTAAACAAGGTGATAGGGTAAATGTGAACAAAAAAAACTCAATGATCAAATGTATACAAATGGAAAAGTATATTACTCTTTTAAGTCATTATCTCAAATGAAAAAATTATCGTGATTTTTGAGATGTTACATTATCAGTAAATTTATTTGTGGTTGAAATCTACAAAATTGACATGACCATCGTGTATAAAAATCGTTAAAATATATCGATTCTTAGTCCACTTTAACACTTCGATTATTGATATGATTTAAAAATATCTATGTGAATGCTCTCTAAAATAGATATATCAAATTTATATGTGAATTCGAACAAAAATTCCCATTTATATGTGAATCTAACTAAATTAAATGTGAATCTACGTAAATTCACTTGATTTTTTTTGACGATCTAACATTTTGATCATACACAAACCAAGTTACTGATAATCATAGGTGAATTTATTCAAATTCACATGTGAATGATCAATAATTACTGGGAAAATCGAATGTAATAAGCATTTACATGTGATTTTTTTAAATAAAAGTTCGATACAGATCAGATTCAAATAAAATTCAGATATAAAATTTCTTATTTTTTTCATCAATATGATTCTATATTTAAAAAGTATCAAATGTATGAATTTTGATATATTTATTATTTTTTCTTTTTGATAAAACTAAACCTTAACTTTTCAAAAAAAAAAAAAAAAACACATAAAAAACAAAGTGAAAGATGACGAAAGATTATGAAAATTGGTATATTCAGTTATTTTTTCTTCGATAAAAAAACTTGGCCTAAAAAAATTAAACGAAATGAATTTTTTTGTTATGATCCGGTGTATCCAATGTACAAAATCTACAACCATTCCGTGAACCGTTGATTGTTATGATTTTCAACGCTAACGATTGGTTGTTTAGTTCATTATTAATAATGATTTTCAATTGAAAATAACTTTATATATATATATATATATATATATATATATATATATATACTATAATAACATAATTATATTCATTAATATATTTTTCCAAAAATTGTAGCTAAAATATATACAACGTATGGATATTCATCTAGTTTACTAATATAAATAAAACATTTTTTATAATTTTGCAAATTTAAAACACATGACAATTTCAATAATATTTGTATTTTACAGACACACGTACCTTTTATATATTTTTATTATTATATAGAGAGTATTTTTGTAATTTTGTTTTATACTATTAAACAAGAGTAATTTTGTAAAATAGAACCACTATGCCGTTTTTATTTCCTATTATTCTATAAAGATCAGTTTTGTTATTTTATTATTATATAAATACTATTTCAAAAAAAAAAAAAAAAAAACTATTTCTATGACTTATATCATTAGAACAGTTTATATAGATAATAAGAGAAGACCTTTGTAGGAAAATATAAGGGTGTTGATCGGGTATAACTTTCAAGTTTCGGGTATTTTAGTTGGGTAGCTCGGGTGCGTTGATATGATATAACTGAACTGAATAAAAATCCAGGTAATTGATTACGGGTAATTTGGTATTAAGCGAGGTTTGGATATTTCAGGTTAACTATAGGTTTTCTTAAAAAAATGGTGTATATAATTTTGGATTATTAATATTTTCTCATCCTTCCTTTGTTTTAATATGATGTTTTATGCAGATTAAATAGAAACTAGATGTAAAACCCGTGTATTACACGGGTTGATTAAAAAAATAAAATATTAAAATATAAATAATAAATATTTTTCAAAATAAAATTTTAAAATAAGGAATGAAAAAAATATTAATTGCAATTTAGTATAATATTTATTACATTTGATACTTTACATATATAAATATAAGTATTATATGACTTTTTAATTTTAAAAATTAAAAAAAACTATAAATTAACATATGAATATTATTTATTTAAAAATAATTTATTTAAAAATATGACAATTGTCAAGTCAAAATTATCTTATTATTATTTATTATTACAGTGTCAAAATTATCTTATTATTATTTATTATTACAGTAGAAATAGTAGATATTATAGTAAAAATAGTAAGATGTCAGTGAGCAGAAAATAGAAATGTCATTTATTAGTTTCAAACTTGTTTTTGGCAAATTCCACACCTTCGCTTGTAACGAAGCTTTTTTGGGTGGATTCAAGACCCTATTTCAACCGCAGTTGATTTGAAACCCAACAAAATCGTTGATAATGATGCATACTCAATAAAGCAAGTTTAAACCCAAAATATATCCCCTTTTAACAGGAGGTGGTGGATTGGAGGATCTTCCACCGGCCGACGTGACGGAGGGCACGGAGATCGAGCGTACAATACGGAATTTGATTAAGGTGGAATGGGTTGATCGATTTAGTTGGATATCACTATATTTAATGATGAAATTGGACCATCGGTTGATTCTGGACAATTCATCAACCATCCTCTACCTATTCCACCATAACAGGAATCAGAGAATCAACAAACCCCACCAATTTCATTTGTCTTTGTGGGAATTTGGGAGAAGAATTTTTATGGGTTCTTTGTCACTTTCGAAATCGACAGTACATACAAACACCAAAACAAACCACATTAACATAATTCTTAATCGATTCTTCTCCTTCCCATTAATCTCTCTGTAAAAATGGATCAAACGAACACCAAATCTTCCAGTACCAACAAAACGGGCTATTGTCTTCCAACCATCTCCAATCGATCCGCAATGGGTGACTTCAAGCGTGTAAAGAGCGCTAAAGATTTATTAGTGAGCTCAAGTAAGTCATCCCAAATTTCCCAATCCACTATTCTCTTTGCCTATCATAATCGATTGCGTTGTTGAATTCCGGCACTGTAGGTTCGGAGGATGGAAGCAAAAGAAAAAAGAATCCACAAGTGGTGTGTTTCGGAGAACTTTTGATCGATTTTGTGCCCACAGTCTCCGGTGTTTCACTGGCGGAGGCTCCGGGATTCAAGAAAGCTCCCGGCGGTGCTCCGGCGAATGTTGCAGTTTGTGTATCAAAATTGGGAGGATCTGCAGGTTTTCTTGGCAAGGTTGGGGACGATGAATTTGGTCGCATGTTGGCTAACATCCTCAAAGAAAACAATGTCGATAACACAGGAATGAGATTTGACAAACATGCAAGAACCGCATTGGCATTTGTAACCCTAAGATCCGATGGAGAGCGTGAGTTCATGTTCTTCCGCCATCCAAGTGCGGATATGCTTCTCACAGAGGCAGAACTCGATACAGATTTGATCAAAAAGGTACATTCAATCATCCATTTTTTATGGCTGCATGTTTTGAAAGATTAAATTGTGGCCGATTTTTATTATTTGACCAGTCAACAATCTTTCACTACGGATCCATTAGTTTGATTGAAGATCCATGCAAATCAGCTCACTTAGCTGCAATGAAAATTGCTAAAAAAGCAGGATGCATTCTTTCATATGATCCTAATTTGAGACTACCTTTATGGCCATCACCTGAAGCTGCTCGAAAAGGCATCATGAGCATTTGGGATGAAGCAGATGTTATCAAGGTGCAAAATTTCATAGTGGGTTGACTTTTTTTGACTTAAAACTTTAATGGGTTTTTAACTTTTTGGGAAATTACAGATTAGTGAAGATGAAATTGAGTTCTTGACTAGAGGTGATGATCCCTATGATGACAAAGTTGTCTTGACCAAGCTTTTTCACCCAAATCTTAAGTTGTTGATTGTCACTGAAGGTCCTAATGGCTGTAGATACTACACCAAGGTTATTTTTGTCAATTTAACACGATTTTCCATTGTTGGATTATCTTAATTGATATCATTACATCAATTTGTATGTTTATTTTTTAGGATTTTCATGGGAAAGTTGGTGGTGTTAAGGTGAAGTGTGTTGATACAACGGGTGCAGGTGATGCTTTTGTTGGAGGACTCCTTCTCAATTTAGCTGCAAATACTCAATTATTCAAGGTTAAACATTTTTAAAAAATTGGCTGAAAAAATTCATTTTCTGAATATATTGATTTTTAAAAGATTTATGTTATGCCCCATTTTAGGATGAAAAGAAGCTGAGAGATGCATTGAGGTTTGCAAATGTTTGTGGGGCCATTACAGTTACAGAGAGAGGAGCGATTCCATCATTGCCTTCGAAGGAAGCTGTTCATAAGAAGCTGGAGGAATCAGAATCTAAATAACACGTGTCGTTTTTTTTTGTTTGAAATTAGAAGAAATGGTTATTAAACTGTCTTCTACAAGGTAGAATATGCTAAAGAAAAAACATGAACAAAAAACAGAAATTTGTCTCATTATTTTTCTTACTTTTGTCTATGTAATTATTGTATATGTAACATGCATGAAGTAAATGAGGATTTAATTTGTTACTTTCCTTTAACTATGCTTATATTTTCTTTATATATTTCTACTGACTTGTGGAGACTGATGCGTACATGTGTGTGTCAATCGTAAACATAACAATTTTCAACAATCAAAATGAGATTTATAATTTGGAGAAATATGTGTAGAAAAGGATTAATAAAGAACATGATACCAAAGTCATTGTATTTCATAAAATCCATCAAAGGATGCAACCAACTAAGACAACATGAAAGATCAATGATGCGATCAACATTATGTGTTCATATGTACAAGAACCAAAATTCCATTCGGTTCTCCATGAACATTTTCTCGCAAGTCAATGGCAAAACATAGATTTTTGATACCAAACACAAATAACATCTTTATAGATATATAAATGTGTTGCTTTATGGATATTTTAACCATCATTTTTGTCTATCAAGCTTCATCCTTTTTTCGGGTAATCCAATAAACAATTCTGTTTCGACATCTGAACTTTCTCCACATTCAATCATTTGCAACATGGGTCGTTGTTCATCAATCTTTTCCTGAGTTTGGACTAGACACTGAAAGAGAGATTCGAGTTCATTTATGTTGTTTTCATTTTTCATCTATAATTTATAAATTTAGCATTTTTTTAATTAAGCAGTATACATATGACTATAAATCGCATAATTATAGCCCCCTGGGATCCTAATGGTTGAGATGCAGAATTCCACACATGAGGTCTAGGGTTCAAACCATAGCACACCTAAAATACTGCTAGTATTAATTATGGCCGTTTACATGGACCGCTTAGATGGTATGGTTTGCCATTTTTTTTAATGTCAGTTAAACCATAAAGAGTAACGAATAGAATAACCTTACCTTTGAACTTAGCATTGCATTTTGAGATGCTAACAATCCCTCCTGAAATTTTTTAGAAGTAAATGGTATATATGATGAGAGTTCTAGAAATATAATTTATATGTTTGTGGGATGTCTTGCTAATTAGTGGGTGTTTGACATTACTTTTTAAAATAACTTATTAGCTTTTTAGCTTTTCAAAAAGCTAATAAGCTAAAAAAGTGTTTGTGTATTTGAAAAACACTTTTTAAAACAACTTTTTTGATATGAAAAAATAAAGCTTTCAAAAAGTTGGAAAATCCTAACTTTTTAGCTTTTTAACTATTTTACTCTTAAAAAGCAGTTTTTCTTATCCAAATACTTTTTAAAACCAACTTTTCCTTAAAGCCATAAGCTAATAATCACTTTTCTTAAAAAACACTTTTGTGCTAAAAAAGCTAACCCAAACATGTTAGATGAGTTAAAATGATGCAAATAGGTTTAGAAGAACTTAATAAGGTGAAAGAAAACGAAAATATAGAATTGTGATTTATTGAGTATATATGAAAGTGTAATGTTACTAAAAGTAAATGATCAACTCATATTTATGTATTGTACCTTTGCTTGTAGTTCCTGAATTTGTTCATTATATACTTGCATCTGAAACACCAACAATTAAAGTCAAAATAAATCAAAGAATTTCAAGATCAGTTGAAACAAAATCAGTTTTTGAGAGTCAACTTCTCATTCTTTTGTGTGAAAAAACTCAACCTTTCGAGCACGAATGATGGATACACTCCTCTCTAGCTGTTGTTCAAGCTTTTGTAGTTCATCAATGGTGCATGATCCTAGACCTTCTCCCAAAAGTTTCCTGTAATAAAGTTTTAAGATGTTAGGATCGATGGTTTTATTGTAGCTTTAATTTAGAACCAACAATTAATCTTAGTTTCATAACTACATGTGTGGTGATTTAAAGTTCAATTAACATATCCAGAACATGAAATTCTAACCTTTTAGTTATTTCCAGGAGTTCTATCTTCTTTGCCATACTTTCTGTTTCATTCTTCAAATGTTGCCACTGAACACAATTGAGGACAATAAGTAACACTTCCAAAAAGTCAACTATGACTTTGGAATTTTAAAAACATTGTTGTTTTTGTAGTTACAGTCGATTTAATTCAAAGCAAAACAACATTTTCAATCCAATTTTGTTCAAAAAGTTCATAGCATATGAAGGAATTTTAATTTTGTGACAGAATTTAATTTATCAGTACTGTAAAGGGTTTAGGGTTGAAAGACCAAGAACACGATGCATAAGAAAGAAGACATGTCTATGGAGACAGATTTGAACCTGAGCATCTTCTACACTCGAAGAATTCTCAGTTTGAACTTCTTTTACGTGATTCCTGTAACGTTCGATAGTGTCATCCATGCTGAAAAAATTACAAACACGAACATTAGGTGTAAATGACAACATTTTCTCTATTATTAACAAATTAATAGATGGAAAATATATTAAAATTATGTCGTATAGTTGACACCCAATATATAGCTTAGTCTTTTGACATATAGTGTTACATCACTTATTGAAGGTTATGTAAATAACGACTCAAAGGGCGACAAAATAGTTCATTGTTAAGGTCAAATTTTAATTACTCGATAGAAATTCTTCGCTTGACCATAGAATACAATGATTTAAGTACAACTTTTATTATTAGCAAGTCATATTTGAACATTTAAGTGATAGTAACATAATTTAGTTAAACCATACATTAATTAGAGGAATATTGCCATATAGTTCTAACTAACACCCATCATCTATGATTCTGTGTTGTATTAGTATGGGTGGAATGGTCTGCACGTTGTTGACTAACTATTAGTTATTACTAAGACCTAATCTCTTGCTTACGACCTCTATTTTTGGAAAAATAATGTTATTTCATGCTAAGATTTATATAAAACATAACAACTTTGTTCAGTTTTATTTATATCAATTAGAATAAAGTAATTAATTATAAATTAATGGTCAATTGAAGATAAAAGGAGAAAAGCAATTTGATGGAGAAAATGTTGTTATATTTCACAAATTGCTTGATAAATACATAGCGATTGTAATTTTACAATAACAATACAACTCATAGAATTTTATTAAAGAACAAGCACATTCGATTATTCACTCCATTCAAATATATAACCAAATTGTAAAAAAAAAATATATACAACTTAGTCAACTCAAGTGTCTTTTAAAATTGGCACATTATAGATCTACAAATGCATCTATTTTATGTTGGAAGATATCTGTAATTAATTCATCTTCAAACTGTGAGAAGAATTGCTTCAACGGAGAAAAATATCCATTTTGTTTCTATAAAAAAATTACTAGTCTGGATCAACTGAAGTGTCTTTTATTTGTCAAATTTCAAGCTAAATTTCATTATTTTGCTACTTATGAAATATTGGATTTGGTGCAAGAAGAATTTTAACAATTAAAAGTTGTTAATCTTAATTTAACATGCAATTTAATAATATTTTAGATCTAACTTAATTAGTACATTAATTAACAATATAATATATGTTGTACTATAATCATATATATTTAGAAGTTGATTCTTTCTATGGTAAAAATCAGAAGAAAAGCAAAAGCTGATCACTTTCTGCGTTGAAAAGAAGTTGGAATATATGAAACAAACCACTTCATGTTATAATCTGATTGAAACATGCTTGGCAAAGAGTAGTTGTAGATCTTTCTTAATTGAGTCATTCACAAAATGTCATGAAAAAACAAGAATCCCAACAAGGAACAAGTGAAAATTTGTCAGAATGTTTTTAATAATTTATTGACTAACATCTAAAAAAAACCATTTTAATTCCAAAATAGCTTCTCAAAAGAAGTTTTAGTCGGAGTGGATTCGAATTAAAAACCCTTTGAACAAGATTTAATTGCAGTGAAAGAAAGATAGAGAGAGAAATGGGGGTCGACTATATACAGTGTCTTTCGCCCTAACTGATCTTAAAATATTATTAACTGTTCACGTTAAGTGACGACGAACTCCAATATGTTTACACCATAAAGATTCCTATTCGTAACCCTAAAAGTGATAAATTGAACCAAGTTTTAGATCTAAATATTTTTGTGTTTCTGTGTTATTCTAGTGTGAGTTAGAGGAGGAGAAGAAGAGAGAAACCCTAAGGTTATTAATAACCTAGACCTATACTATAAAGGAGTTAAACAATACATATAAAACATATATACATATATACCACATATATCTGTGTATATTATATGTATGTATGTATAGGTATATGCATGAAAGAAATCAGAAAGAAAATTTTAAATCAATCAACAATCAGAAATAAGCGAAAAGGATGACACCTTGAGCTTGCGAATTCACAGAGCTTGCCTCTTGGAGAGAAGATAATCAAAGCAACTTGAGCATCACAAAGCACAGAAAGCTCAAAAGCTTTCTTCAATAGACCATTTCTCCTTTTGGAGAAAGTCACTTGCCTACTTGTAGCGTTTTCTATCCTCCTCATCTGGGTCTTTCCTCTCACCATCTTTGGTTTCTTGAAATCGACCTAATATTTCAAGAAAAGGAGCCCGTATTAATTAAGCAGATCAAGATCCATTAATAACAAAATCTGAGAAGCTTAATCAATTTCGTGAAGCGAAAAGCAAAGTTTCTGAAGGTTGCAAGAGAGCAAAAAAGGTGGAAACTTTGTTGCTATATATGGGTATTTCTATAAGGAGATATATATCAAGAAAGAAAAAGAAGTTACTAGAGAAGCAAACCCCAGATTGGTGTTCTTGAGAGAGAGAGAGAACTTGTAGAGGGTATCTGGAAGTAGAGTGTGATTGGGGGAGGAGTGGTAGGCCTTAAAATGGCTATTTACATAGGTAAGTTGGAGCTGATTGATTGGTTACTCTCTCAAGTACTCTTTAAAAAGAAAGAGGATTGGAAAATAAACTCACCCGATTTAATGCTAAACACCTATTTCTACACTTGGAAAATACAATCCGGATGAACAAGTTGTAATGCATTATTTACAAGTTCCAACACGTTATGTATGATTGATCAAGTCAATAAAACAACATAAAAAAGTAAACTACCTTATTTTAACCACCTTCCCCATTTGTATATGATGCATAGAGGCCCTAACCTTTTTATTTATAATGATGGAGTACAGTCCTAATCATCCAACACATCTTATAACTGGCATATTTCATTTGGGTTATTTATTAAAGATCTATTCACTAAAACACCATAAAAGATTATTTCATATTTTAAGATAAATATAGTTTTTCTGGCTTTTAAGAAAAGGACCACTAACCCTACCAAATCCAGTTGCCAGTTCGTATGAACTACTTTTTCTAAATACTTATATGGTTATTTTGATATATGAACTTATTCTGCTAAGTTTGGGATTGCCCAATGGAATTCACGATAACATGTTTTTGTAATGTAAAATTGAACAAATTAACATAAATAGATCATAAAATGTTAATATTTATTTATCTAACAAGTTCATATACATATTACCAAAAGGATATATATATATATATATATATATATATATATATATATATATATATATATATATATATATATACACAAC